CTCTCTCTCTCTCTCTCTCTCTCTCTCTCTCTCTCTCTCTCTCTCTCTCTCTCTCTCTCTCTCTCTCTCTCTCTCTCAGCAACTTTTCTTTTTTTTTCTTTCGTTTTCATTTTCTTTTTTCTTTTTTTTGTATTTGATTTTATTTTTCCTTTTTTTTTTGTTTGCTTTGTAGTGTCGTCCTGACAAAACCAGGGCCCGACCTATAAGCAGCGACCGGGCCTTCCCTTGGCCGGCCCCCGAACGATGCGGTGCGTTAACGACAAAGGCCCGCGGCCAATGTATTGGCCAAGTTTTGGTGGTTTAAAATACCAGGTTGTTGAAGAGGTGGGATACTAGACCGATGGCAGTCGCCCACAGTACTCGGCGACTCGGTTGCGCAGCTGAACCCCTCTGAAGACCCCACCCACCCTTCCTCTCTCTTTTTTTTTGCCTTGGCGCAACCCGACCCCCCCTGTCCTACCTTAGTGTTAACCACCCGGGACCATAACCCATCACCATCTTGGCGGGGTGACCTTGTGACGCCCAACCTCACGGCAGCGCGACTTCCTGATCAGAGATGGGAGCGGGCCCGGAAGTTGCAAAAAAAAAATGGGGGTTCCAAGGATTTTAGGAAAGTGGGGTGGAGTCCTTGGTAGGAACTGGGATCTCCTGTGTCAAGGTTCCGAGGACAGAAGTGCAAGGGGTTCGGACAAAAAGGGGCTTTTTCAGTTCGAGACTTTCATGGCTGGATATTCTGGATGGTCACTTTTGGCGCCTAGGACGGGTCCATATGCGGTGTACGAGAGAAATACAATGGATATCTCGTTGCTCAACACACGGCGCCTGCGGGACTCATATACCTCAGAGTCTGACGTGGACTGTCTCAGTCGAAGGCAATGTTCTTGATGCTTAGCATCATTACAGGCCCGCCAGACGAAGCCCGACAACCGGTAAGGGTAGTCGTGATCCGTTAATCGAAGAGGGACACCAAATTCCATGCTACGATTCAAAGTAATGTTGTCATTCCTATCCATGCAGAAGTGCACCTGTAACATGGCCCTGACGAGGGTGGCTCCTGAGGCCAACATCACCGGTTCAAGTTTGTGCTTGCACGGAGGAGAACTGAGGCCTAGAGGTACTGATCCAATGGCATGTCTCTCAGGGCTAACTTTTCATCAACCATCAACCATTGAAAACGATCTAAGTTCGATTTTTTTTTTTTTTTTTTTTTTTTTTTTAAGCCCAGGTTGTTGTAGAGGTGGGATACTAGACCGATGGCAGTCACCCACATTACTCGCCCACTCGGTTGTCCAGTTGAACCCCTTTGAAGACCCCACCCACCCTTCATCTCATCTTTTTTTTTTTTGCCTTGGCGCATCCCCACCCCCCGTCCTACCCTAGTGTCAATCACCTGGGACCATCACCCATCACCATCTTGGCGGGGTGACCTTGTGACGCCCAACCTCATGCCTAGCGCGACTTCCTGATCGGAGATGGGAGCGGGCCCGGAAGTTGCGAAAAAAGGGGGGTGCCAAGGATTTTAGGAAAGTCGGGTGGAGTCCTTGGTAGGAACTGGGATCTCTTGTGGCAAGGTTCCGAGGACAGAAGTGCAAGGGGTTTGGACAAAACGGGGCTTTCTCAGTTTGCGACTTTCATGGCCGGATATTCAGGATGGCCGGTTTTGGCGCCTAGGACGGGTCCATATGCGGTGTACAAGAGGAATACAATGGATATCTCCTTGCTCAACACACGGCGCCTGTGGGACTCGTATACCTTAGAGTCTGACGTGGACTGTCTCAGTTGAGGGCGGCGTTCTTGATGCTTAGCCTCAGTACAAGCGCCCGCAAGACGAAGCCCGACATCCGGTAAGGGTAGTCGTGATCCGTTAATCGAAGAGGGACACCGAATTCCATGCTGCAATTCACAGTAATGTTGTCGTTCCTATCCATGCAGAAGTGCACCTGAAATATAGCCCTAATGGGGTGACTTGTGCAAGGGCGCATATACGTGATGGGTCATTTTACTGACTGATTGTAACGTATATACGTGGCACGAGATTCGTTCACAAAGCAACTCGAGGCGACCAACTTCTCTATTTCCCATAAATTCCAGCGGGCTACGGTTGTGCATGCATCCTCATTTTTCAATTATTTAGTCTTCCAACATAACCAGGAATTATGAATACCAAATTGAGACAATCAGGCGACAATCATCATCCACAACATCATCATAACAGGAAAGAGGTATGAGAGAACTTTGAAGAAGCACAGGGATCCACACGATCATACAAAAGTCCGCAATTATAAAGGCAAAAATGGAGAAAGCCGAAACCAAAATTTCCAGAGGGCCAAGAGAGAAGTCCCCTACACACCCCACCCCACACACTCTCACTGCTTCACCATCCTTCTCCTTACTCCGATGCAGGCAGTCTGTCGCCACGCACCTACCAACCGCCCAAAGTTGTCACCCTGCTTAGCCCGAGCACGCACGCTAGGTACATCCGTGCTCCACAGTCCGTTGTGGCCACACGTCAACCCCGCACACTTACCACCAACTCGTCGGATCACCCAACTCCGACCTCACCTCTTTGGATGCTCATACTCGTTAGTCGTTCCTCTCGACCGCGCCAACTCCCCCAAGTTTAGATTAAAGAGAGATTTAGTCGCGCTTGCAAAACTTATAGCTATTAGCACTTACGCGAGATAGCCGGGATCATTACGCTGGGGTACTAGGGGGAGAGAGAAGAAAGGAGGTGCCTACGGTCGGCATGCCTGGGCCTCGGCGCAGGGGATGTAGCCACTGTCCACGAATTGATCCAGTCATGCACCGCTCTGGCTAATGAGACAAAGGGGAAGAGGCCGCATGTTTCGACGCGAAGAGAAGCCAAGAGGGAAAAAATTACAATTACACCCGCACTTGCCAAGAAAGGAACAAGAGGAAATTACAATTCAAATTATAATTAACGTGCGGCGGGAATAGAGTGCAGGGTAGAGTACAACAAAGACAGCGCGAGTAAGAAGGATTGTGCAGTTACAAAAAAAAAGTATGATGACCCTAAAATCATAGTCTAATTAGAGTCTTAATTCCGAGTGTCTGCGCGGTCTCCCGCATTCTTTCCAAAGAGTTCAAAAAATTCAAAAAGATTCTCTCGCGTGATGATCGCACGAAAGCTCCTTGCCCAAATTAAAAAAAAAAAAAAAAAGTTGCGTCAACCGTTATCCCTGCGCTCGCTAAGGCACGTCCTGACCACCAACAAGCGTGAGACCAAACTCTCGCAAAAATCCTATTACTCTGACTTGAATTAGAGTCCTGATTCTGAGTGCTCTCGCGATCTTCCGCATTCTTTCCAAAAAGTTAAAAAATTCAAAAAAAATCTCTCGCATGATGATCGCGTCAAAGGTCCTTGCCCAAATTTCTCAAAAAGAAGGAAAAAGTTGCGTCAGTCATTATCCCTGCGCTCGCTAAGGCACGACCTGACCACCAACAACCGTAAGACCAAGCTCTCGCAAAACAGAGAGGGAAAAAAAAAGGAATGAGGATATTCGTGCAGTTGACCCTTAGGCCCATCTGACCACCCCAAGGTTCAATCGCACAGAAAGTCGTGCCTATCAGAATATAGTTCGTTACAACCTGACCAGACAGCGGTTGCAG